GGGGAACCAGCTTGCTTTACGATGTGCACGCTTCCATGGCCGGGAGGAACTAGGCACATGGGGAAATGGGCTTGTCGTCGAAAGAACCGCTGCAGGATGAAGCCCCAGACCGGCACGCCGGGGACGCGAGTGAGCTTTCTGCAGCTGGAGGTGAGGCGAAGGTGGAAACAGCAGCCGCCAGCTGGTCCTCTCCAGCCCTCTCTGGGTGGACTTATGGAAGATGCTTGTAGCATCTTAGCTTCATTGAGCACAAAAGCGCTCGCCTGCGCATCGGGGACCTAAGGGCCGCTGTACCTCCTTCCCCCCAAGGTCTGGCTGAGTCTCTGGCCAACTGGCAAGGCGCAGCCAGGCAGGATAGTTTTCAGAGCTATGGCAGGCCAGGGCTGAGCGGACAGACCCAGAGAACATGGGGTTGAGGAAAGCGCCAGCTCGCTCGAGCATTTCTCGGCAAAAGCCCAGCCTCGTGTCAGAAGGGACCGGCCCGGGAATGTCGGCCTGCAAGCTCCGCCAGGAATCCAGGCCATCCAGCGAAGGAAAGGGGGGGGATGTGGGAGAAAGAAAGGGGGGGCGGCTGGACGGCACACACCCTGCACTGTTTATTTTGTAAGAGGAGCCGGAGACTCAATTAGCAATGGAAACAAAATCAAACGTGTGAAACAGGCTATTAAAGTCATGTTTTCAGAACTCTAAGGCGCAGACAGAGGCTTTGACAGGCATGAACGATAGCCGCATGATTCAGGATGCTGGAAACCTGGACTGACCCCTGCTGTTGAGGTTGGGGTGGGGTTTTAAACCTTCTCTGCCAGACTTTGTGGGGAGGAAGGGAGGGAAAGCACGGGGAAGCTGGCTGTGGCTTCCCTAACCAGCAACCCTCCCCAAACAATGCTCGTGCACCTTATTGATCCGGGAGGCAGGATGTACAACTTTGCTGAGTCTACTGGTGCATTGGTGCCACACCTTGAAATGTGAAAAGATGCAGTGCAGGTCACGAGGGGGATACTGGCTGTTGTTTGTTTTTTTAAAAAATATATTTTTTATGGATGAGAGTCTGAGCTGGAATGCTGTGCATCCCGAAAGCCTGCTCAGATTTCTTCCAAGTGCATGCTATTGAGGAATCTTCTCCAGGTATTGTGTCTAGCATTCCCGTTGTGCAAAACTCTGCACATTCTGGGGAGATCAGGGAAGCAAGCCGCTTTGGACTGAGGTGTGCAACTGAGCGTGGACCACTCAGGGGTGTGTGGTTGATTTGGGAATGTGGCTACTCAAGATCAACATTCCCCCATGACCCCTGCCCTACAGAATAAGAGTCCAAAAAGACAGGCCATCAAATTGGTCCAAATGAAGAGCGGGCGTTTTGCAGTGCTAATGGCTCTTAATTATCAGTTCAAGATCAAACTCCTCTCGAGTCCTTTGCAGTGCAACAGGGACAGCTCACAATGACCGATGGTTTCTGAGAAAATCCATTTCTATCAAAGCTGCTGAGAGAATTGCTGCTAAGGGAGAGGAGAAGTCTAACCCTCTTTGCATCCCACTTCCAAGTCAAACCGGATACCCTTTTATATTCCCACACAAAAATCTATGTGCATCTTTGTTTGCCTTTCCCCTCCCCAAAATGCATTTTTTGTAGATATTTTTCTGATGCATACTTTTAGTCGAAGGGAAAGAAGAAAGTGCCAAAACAGGATTGCACCCAAACATGAAGACAAAAAAACACATATGACTACAGAAGAAATGCACAACTTTTGTGCTGATAATGGAGAAATTGAAATAGCTGAAACACAAAGAAGACAAAAAAAAATGACTACAGAAGAAATACACAACTTTTGTGCTGATAATAGAGAAATTGAAATAGCTAAAACTTTTGTATACCTTGGTTCAACCATCGGTCCAAATGGAGAATGCAACTAAGAAATCAGAAGACAGAGACTTGGAAAGGTAGCAACGAAGGAACTAGAAAACATCATCAAGAGACCAAGATCATCCACACCTCCTGATCACTATATACGGGTGTGAATGATGATGGTGAAGAAAGCCAACAAGGAAAATGATTCATTCAAAATGTGGTGCCGGAGGAGAGCTTTGTGGATACCATGGCCTGCCAGAAAGATGAACATGTAGGTCCTTGGTGGAAGGCAGCAGGAAAAGAGGAAAACCAAATACGAGATGACTTGACTCCCTCAAGGAAGCCAGCAGGATTGAGTTTGCAATTGCTGAGCAGGGCTGTTGAGGACAGGGCATTTTAGAGATGGTTCATTCATAAGATCGCCATATGTTGGAGGCGATTTCACCGCACAGAACAAGATATTGTGCATACCCTGTTTTCCCCGAAAATAAGACCTAACCTGAAAATGAGCCCTAGTAGGATTTTTCAGGATGCTCGTCATATAAGCCCTACCCCCAAAATTAGGCCCTAGTTAAGTGAAAGCCCGCCCTCCGCCCTTGTGCAGATGAAATGACTGTGTTTGAATAAATGTAGATTGTTTTACATGAAAAAAAATTGAAAATAAGCCCTACTGCATTTTTGGAACAAAAATTAATATAAGACCCTGTCTTAATTTTGGGGAAGCACTGTTTGTTTTTTTTTTTAAGTTCTGTGCATCTGTCAAAGGTACACAGAGTCATGTATACCTTTTCTTTCCTTCCAGAAAGGTATCATAGTCTTCAGAAACGCACATATTTTGGAGGCACGAGAGATTGTGTTGCCCTGCCACTTTTGGAAAGGAGCAAAAAGGATCTTTTTTTAAAGGGAAAGGTACCCCACTCTCGCTCTCACACACACACAATGATCTTCCGCCACCCTTCCTCTGTCTGGGATGGTAAGGAGATGTTTTTAAAGATTGTTGGGGGGGGGATGATCCAGAACTGTCAAGCAAGGGTTCCCTCTCGTGGCCGACAGGTAGACTGCTCTTCTCCAGGTCTCTCCTCCAGGACCAAGAGCTGGTGGGCATAAGGCACCCTTTACTCCATTCCAGATTGTTTGGTGGCCTCTTCAGCCTTTCCTGCCTTTGGCCAGAAAATGGGTTTTTCCTGGAAAGTTCCTAGAGTGGGGAAATCAAACTTTTTGAAATATTGCAGGACCAAAAATAGACACCCCCTTCTTTCTAGTGTACTCTCCATTTCATTCTTGTTCTTTTCTCTTTTTTTGCTTTTGGGTCTGATCCTTCCCGCTGTCTCCCACACGGGGTCCCCTGAGCGGACCTCCTTTTTGTGTATGTGTGTGTGTGTATGTGGTCACCCTAAACCCCAACACGTTTCCCTGGCTCAGCAGAAAAAGGTGAGGCTTTGTTTGGTCAAGGAATCGGCCCTTTCATATTTTTAAAGGAAATTTTATGGGACAAAGTGGTGGGGGAAGGTCATTTTGTAAGAAAGGATGCAAACTACACTCTCATGCACAGTAGTTAGTATAATTACTGATAAAACCAGGGTATTTGAGCCAGTGATGGAACACTGCCTTATTTATTAGATCACCTTCCCAGCTTTCTTTCGATTCTGTGTCTCAAGGTTACCTAATCATAGTCCTGTGCGGTAACCGGTAGTATAGTTCCACTTAAATTACGGCAATAATGTCTAATTGTGATGAAAGCTGAATATATGAGTTCATATTAGCATATGAAAATTTAATGCACATTTTCATCCTCTTTGTGTGAAGAATGACCTCTTTCTTGGTGCTCTCTATCTCTTTCTTTCTTTCTCCTACAACTCCCAGAATCCCCTGGACGCGTTTGGCTGGGGGATGATGGGACCTGCCCTCCAAAATTGGGAACGCTGAGTTGTGATGGCCAGGGCGCGGATTTATTTATTTATTTATTT